TCTCTATTGGACTTGTGTTTCCAACTGTGGAAAAGCATAGAAATGCTATTATTGATTATAGTGTGAGGAACAGGGTTGAGAACTTGAGATCAAGCTGCCCAGGAATGACAAGACCAGGTTCAGGTTTAACTGTGCAGAGGGCTGCCCATGGAACCTGCATGCTATGCAGCATGGATACGGATACGCATATGGTATGGGTGGATACAAATACGCGGATACAACATTTTTCTAAAGAAAATGACATGCAGATACATTTTAGTATTTTTTAATAAATAAATAATAAGGCTTTTTAAAAAAATCTAAAAGCAGTAACACACTAGCAGGAACTTGAAATTGCCTTGGATTCTTGCAATTGTGCTGTCCTGCTCATCTCATCCATAAATCCACACTTCCATTTAGCCAACACTCCGACAGCTAGGTGTACCAAGCATCCCCATCCAATCTTCCAAACTTGCAAAATCCAAATGAGAACATATAAGTGCTTACTGCAGAAGTAGAACTTGTCAAATCATGGGAGGATTCAACTAAAGGCCAGTTTGGATCCTATTAGGGTTATAATAGTCAGCTGAAATCATCTGATTGTGATCCAAACAGGTTGGATTATAGGAAGAATTATTATAATCAAAACACCAGAATACAAGAATCCTGTAATCCACCTGAGACTAAGATAATTGGAAATAATAAGCACTTAATGACCAACGTACCCTTCCACCAGATCCGTCCACTCCTAATAATGGTCAATACTAAAGGGTTGGATATGGTAGGTATTGTCAGTTCAACAATAATCCACCACAAATAATCCAAGGATCCAAACACTCCTGATTATTATAATCAGAATCCAGCTTATAATAATCAGATGAATAATCCAGATTACAATAATCATCCTATGATCCAAACAGGGCCTAAGTACATCACTTTTAACTTGGACCTAAGTTGCACGGATACGGATACGCGTATCGGTATCGGAAGGATACGGATACGCGGATACGGCAATTTTCTAAGAAACCCGATACGCGGATACGTTTACTATTTAAAAAATAAAATAAAAATAATAATAATGCAGGTCTGACGACCATTGTCTTAGAAAAGCCCACGGTCTAAGCACCATATATGACACGTAGTATGTCCTACCAGTGCCCTGTCCAACAACCAAACCATTCCATCGATTGCCACCCATCCGTCTCCAGTTCAGCTCTCGCACAGGCGCATAGCAGCTTCCGCTCCCCGCACCCCATCCCCGTCTGCTCCACCGCCCGCGTCCCCGTCCGCCCTTTGCTCCATGGCACACCACCTCCGCTCCGCTTGTGAGCAACCTCGAGCCTGCTTGGATCCTTTGCCGCTGGTCGCCTCGCCTCACCCGCTTGCCTCTCCTCGCCTCGCCCGCGATTGAAGCTCTGCTTGGATCCCTTGCCGCTGCATGTCTTGCTTCGTCTCGCAGCTCGCTCCAGCAGCGTCAGAGCGTCGATTCGGCGGCCGCGGAGCTCAAATCGACGGCAACAGAGGTCGATCCAGCGGTGGCGGACCTCAAATCAGCGGCAGCGGAGGTCGAATCCCGCGGTGCCGGAGCTCCAATCAGCGGCGGCGGAGGTCGAATCGACGGCGGCGGGGTCGATCCGGCGGCGGCGGTGCTCCAATCGGCGGCGGCATTGCCCGAATCGACAGCGGCTCGGCGGCCGACGCGAGCACGCGAGCAACCTTGCCCGCGCAGGACTCATCTCCTTCTGCTCCCCTTCATGTTGCACGGCCTCCACTCTGTTCGTGGCTGGGCCGTATCGGCAGGCCAGATACGTATCTGGCGGCGTATCCAACATTTGCGAAAATAATAAAAAATCGGATACTCCGAGGATACGTATCCAGAGCGTATCGGACACGTATCCGTATCCGATACGTATCGGATACGTGATACGTGGCTTCAGGGACGTATCCGTGTAACATTGACTTGGACAGTGAGGCTTCAGGCCTGGAGGAGATGAGTACCACTGATTCGATTCCTTTCCACTGTCAATTCCAGTTCAAGTCGAGATTAATTCAACATTGCTTCAAGCAAAGAGTCTATAGTTTAATTTGACATGGGGAACAGGGGAAGAAGAGGCTACATGAGAGGAGAGGATATAGGGAAGAAATAACCACTAACTCATCACTGGCTTGCTGCCAACTTATCACCGGCAGGGTGGTGAAGCTCGTCGCAGCGCTGTGTGCGTGAGGCGTCTGCAAATGGGCGTCGTACACCTTGCGAGTGGCATGTGTCGCCGCAGCTGCTGCTTGCTGGAGCATGCCATCAGCACTGCATCTCCTCGCAGGGAGGGACAGGTAGGCGAGCAGGAAATTGAGTGAGCGGTGGTGGTGTGCTTGTGGTGTCTGCTGGTTCGCCAGTGCGTGGTGCACATTTGAGTCGAGGGTTTGGGCAACACAAGGAAGCATGTGGTGATAGTGCTATATAGTAGGCCTACTGGACTCAATACAGTCTCCACTCACGTATAAAAAATTCTCTGATTTATTTTTTTTCCGGATACTCCATGCTGTATCCCACACATCCGTGGATACATATCCAATACAGGGTATGAGGTTGACCTTACGTATCCATGCAAGACAGCCTATATGCTTCCATGGATAGCAAGGTAAAGTGCTTTGTGGTGAAGACATATTATGGGGTATACAAATGCCAGAAAGAGTGGGTATGGAGGAGATGCACTTCTAATTAGCTGGCTGCTAAATACATTGACTCCTTCAGAACTAATGATGAGTATAGCCAGCGAGTTCAAAAAGTTTAGAACTTGACACCATCCAAGAGCAAGTTGGCAAGAGCTAGAAGACCGAACTTGAAGACTGTACATGGAGATGATGTGCGGCGGTACAACTTTGGGACTATGGTCATGAGCTAAGGCATAAGGAGAAGTAATCCTGAGAGCTCATTGTACATTAATCTTGCTGGCAACCTTTTCAGTTCCTGCTATATGTCTATTGATGCCTGCAAGAGGGGTTTTTTGACTGGTTCTAGGCCCATAATGTGCCATCATTGGTGCCATATTAAGTCCAAGTATTGAGGCCAGCTTTTGACAGTTGTGGGTATGGATCCAAATGACTATCTTATCGCTATGGCCGTTGTTGAGGTAGAACCGTAGAAACACTTGCTTCATGGAAATGGTTTCTTTGAAACCCGTAAGGATTATCTGTATATAGAGAACACCTACCCCTGGACATTGATGACTGGTAAGCAAAAGGTATGATTTACTGACTTGGGTTTTGTTGTTGTTTAAGTTGTGTGATGAAGCAACCTTTTCAGATGATACCAAGAAGCTGGTAGCAAATACACAGGCTCAACTACAAGAGGCTGCGCAAGCTGCACTACCTGCAACTGCAACTCAATCAGCAACTGTTCGACAAGTTACTGAACCAAATGTATAATGTATGTTTGTAGAAGTAATGCTACTAGAACTCATATATGAATCAAAACTGCATATCAGGATTAGCAAATAAACACAAATTGAGAATAGATGTCCATAAGGAGCTGCTAATTTTACAAGAAATCATATATTGGACAATAGCCTGTTACAGAGAACCTAATTAACGGTCCTTCAATGCCCCCATTGTGATTTTTTGCCTAATCGACTTCATGGTAATGGCAGTTATAGCACTTAGTATTTTGAACAGTTCAACATGTTAATTAATTCCCAATGCCCCCATTGTGGACTTCTACACATGTTCCTTTTATGGTAAAGGTTTGAGGAGCATATGCTTCTGATTTATCTTATTAACTCTTATTTGTGTGATATAATTGGTCACATCAGGAGAAAATAATTCAACAGAGGCTTGTGCACTTGGATTAATTCATCTTATATACCTACATAGATGGAGACCACTAGCAATCTTTTATTGCTATAAGGCTTCCACCAGAATGAGCCACGTTGCCCAAGAAGTTTAGACCATCTGATTTATTCATTTGGCTTAATCTCTATCATCCATCTGTGTTACAGTTATTGATTGCGTTAATTAATTCCTATTGTAACAGGAATGCCACTAATGCCCTTGACGCAGTTTCCCCAATCACCATGTCCCTTCATTTAACCCTCTTTGCTCAAACAATTTCATCGTCCACTAAACAAGAAATATCCCACAACCACAAATTCTAATTCCTTCTCTCACTATCCCATGTCATCAACACAGTGTCAAGGGAGCTGAACAGTCGATTGATACATTAATATACCCCCCTTTGAAAGCCACAGATGAGCAGTCAAGGCACCAACTGGTTGCAGCTACCATGATACAGAGGCATCCACCCCAAGCCTTCTCTAGCAGTAAGGCCCAATACACAGGTGCCCCAAGTGTTACACTATTTCATGCCTATAATGCTACATATGTGTGATTCTGTCCCTGCTCCCATCATTTTATTTATCGCCACAAATACCATGGTAGGTGGACATATCTGCAGGCCACAAATTTCAGTCTGAGATCCATAATTCCATTCCTGGGCACTACGTGTTCGATACTCTTCTTAATGCATCAATTCAGTTGCGCCATGCTAGAATTAAGGTCCTGGTGTTGTTGATGTAATTGCAGGTTCTATTATTTACAAAAGCACCTTTGACTAACCTTTCTAATGTAGTTCAAATGCAAGGTAAAGGTATCTAAATGTTTAGATACGATTTAGAAGGGAGTGTAAAACTATCAGTTATATCCTCTAATTTTCTCATGATCATTATTTCTCATGCAATCATGCTTCCTATGTACCGAATTCAAGTCACCATTTTTCTTTCTTTAATCTGGTTTCACATGACTGTGTATCAGTATTATTTAACACAAAAATCTTAGAAATTTCTGTAGCAACACGCAGATATCACCCGGTTCCTCTTGATACTGCTGCAAATTTAACTCGTGTACGGTGTACACCCATCGATTTGCAAATGCTCAAGATGTCTGTCCACATAAATGAAAGGGGCTGACGTAGATCCACGATTTTGGACAACAGAATCTAAAATTAGGGGAACAGAGGAATGGCTTACTTCTTCAGCTGCAGCTGCTCCTCCAAAATGACCTGCGAACAATCCACCCCACTAGTAAGAAGCCCGAAACCCAACAAACACTGAACCATTGATGAACCAAGAACGCGTCTAGGGAGGAAGGGAGGGGGTGTGCCGGGATGCGGACCTTCTCGGTGTAGGCAATTAGGGGAGAGTCTCGAGCGAGGCCGTCAGGGCCGATCTCCGGCTTCAAGGCCGCTGGATATGACGGCGGCGGCGCCGCCATTTCGCTGGATCTCCTGTGTACCCGTTTAAACTTTTTCCCTTTATTTCTTTTCCTCGCTTGGATGCCGTCGCCGCGACTCGTGCGCGAGATGCGGCCACGCCTGGTCGCTTGGACGGAGGCACGCACGGCGGCCGCGCCTTGGATGCCGCCGCCACCGCTCCCGCGAGAAGACGAGAGAGGGACTTGCCGCCACCGCTCCCGCGCCTTAGTGCGCCTTTGGATGCTCGTGTTATCTCGTTGACTTGCAAATTTTCATGATTTTTTTTCTTTTGATTATAAAGCTGTGTTTAGTTAGTAAATTTTGCAAATTTGGCGTATTTTTGTTTTTATTTAACAATTAGTGTTTAATTATGGACTAATTAGACTTAAAATGTTTGTCTCGTAATTTCCAACCAAACTGTATAATTAGTTTTTTTCGTCTACATTTAATGCTCCATATACGTATCGCAAGATTCGATATAATAGCCACTATAGCATTTTTTGAGAAACTTTTTGACACTAAACAAGCCTTAAAATACTTACTAGTAAAAGGCAAGGACGCGTACGAATATGGATACATTCTTACACAATAAATAAACAGCGGTCCTGACAAATTTAGGGGGCGTTTAGATCCAGCTACTAAAATTTAGGAGGTGTGTCGAAAAGATGTTGCATGAAGTGTTTGGATATTAATAAAAAAATAAATTACATAATCCGTCAGTACTACACGAGATGAATTTTTTAAGCCTAATTAATTCGTCATTAGCACATATTTACTGTAGCAAAATATTGTCGAATCACAGACTAATTAGGCTTAAAAGATTCGTCTCATAAATTAGTCGCAAACTATGCAATTAGTTTCGTAATTAGTCTATATTTAATACTCCATGCATGTGTCCAAACATCTGATGGCACAGCGACTAAATTTTAGGAGGAGCAACCAAACACCCTCTTACACACAAGGTAGAGCACTACATAGAAAAAAACAAAAATAACAAATAAGCAAGCAGGATACTATTCTACCACTGGACGTGGTGTGCAAGGAGGTGGTGCCGGAGCCGGAGCCTTCCCAAGCCGCACAAAACACTGCCCTAGTGTTGAACGTCTTGTGCCCGCCTGCAACATACCGACAACGATCCTCTTGCAATGTCGTGTTTCTTAGAGCTCTTCTATTCTCAGTAGTTTTTTTTGGAGATCAATTGTTTGAATGCAATTACTCTCTCCTTTTCTCCTGTTGACCGTAATTGGCGCCACACCGAACTCTGGGGACTATGACCCCACCAAGCTCTGTCTGGGATCTATATTTTAGGTGGGGACTCTTCGTCCCACCCTCCGTTGCTCGTCAAAAAAAATAACAAGCAAGTCGTTGCCCACCGTGCAGACCAAACACATGGAGAACTCCACAACTAGTCGTCATCGTCACCAAGAGTGTCCAAATCATCCTAGATCTGAAGAAAGCCCCATCGCAAAGAAGCTTTGAGACGAGCCATAGTACACCCATCTCCATGGACGAGCTGGAGCCAACGCTGAAAATGCATCGCTTGGGGATGCACCCCGAGCTCCTCAGACCATGGCTCAAAGCTCGCCGTTGACAGTCGTCGAGGGAAACTCGAGCTCGATCCACTCTCCATCCAACTGCAACGCCCGCAACCGTTGCTGCATCCTTGAGACCTTGACATAGATCGGCGGCGGCACCGTGATAGGACCTTGATGTTGCCTAGAAGGGGGATGAATAGGCGCTTCTAAAAATTAATAATAAATAAACCTTGCAACGGATTAGTAGAGTGTGTGGCACTGCTGCTCTAATGCTGCAGCACTGCCTCACTAAACATACAGCACTACCGCGCCTGCGTAGAGAGCTCAGCAACAGCTACGCCTAGAACCCAAACTTGGAGATATGTGTGGAGATGCCTAGTGGCAAGTCCACTAAGTACCTGCACTTACAAACACGCACAACCAAGTAGATCGAGTGGAACACAAATAATACAAAAAAACATAAGAGAGAAAGACACACGATTTATCCCGTGGTTCAGCTCGCCACCAAGGCTTATCTATGTCCACGTTGTTGAAGAAGCCACAAGTCCAACGCCGAGGTTCAACTTGAGGTTTCTACTGAGATGTGCCAAGTGTTGATTGAACTCATCATCATCACTTTTATTTTCACTCTAACTCTCACTTTCACTTTCACTCTCACTCTCACTTACCACATTCTTCTCTTTCTTTGCCATGAGACCCACATGAGAAGTGGCATAGAGAGTTAAGCTTCTTGGTGAGGTAGATTCATCATTTGGCTCCCACCGATCACAAGCTTCTTCTTTCTTCAAAATGTTAGTCTCACAAGAACTAGAGGAAGTAGAAGTACCACATGTAAAAGCATTATCATCACCAACCATTTCATTACCTTTTCACTAAGTCATATGTTGATGAGGTAGTGGATGTGGCATGATCCCTGGGACCTTTTGAGAGAACCACTTAAGGCTCTTCATTTGTTGGTGAAGTTGAGCACTCCTCAAGTGATTCCTCCAATGATAACTTCTCATCACATTTAGACTTGTCATATCTTTCTTTGAGCGTGGTCTAAATGAGATGAGCGTCATCAAGCGGTTCACCATCTCTAAATATGATGGCATCAAAAACATCTTCACTCAAAGCACTAAATAAGACATTAGTAGCTTGAGCATTGTGTTGTAAGCATTTCACTTTCTCTTTAGAAAAGATGGCCCAATCATTACTAGGAGGAGAAATGCTTATATCTACAATCCGCTCGATATGAGGACCCATGTCCCTAAAAACAGTAGGTACACTAGCGGACCAAGATGCATAATTTAAATCATCTAAATGTAGGAATACGAGGTAGGCTACGCTAGCATAAAAATATTTCTACCGCGTAAAACAGGAACACTACTGTTGTTATAGATCACGGGATTACCACTAGATGCGCAGATGCGGAAGTTGATGAGGCGCGTCGGGGTAGTGTAGTCGATCACCACGTCGAAGTAGAGTAGTCGATCGCCTCCACATCAAACGTTCAGCGGCGTCCTCCTCGTGTAGCGGCTCGTCCAAGTGTTGCAGATGCAACACCTCCAAGGTATCCACACGTGCAGGGAGGAAGCATCACAAGCTAGACTGCTAGATCTGTGAGTGCAACTCGGTGAGGGCTTGGGAGATGAACAGCTGCTGGGTGTGGAAGATGGAGCAGCAACTGCTGCGCCAAAAGGGTCCAAACCCTAAGCCGCCCCCACCCCTCAATATATAGAGGTCCCTGACAGGCTTCTAGGTCCGAGGCCTATTAGTACTTCTAAACTTGGTCCAATTCGGATCAGATCCTCATTGGGCTTCTAGCCCCTTAAGTGTGCAACCCTATAGGTTCACATACGTATAGACATGACATGAGTACTTCTACTCGGCCAATAGTTGGTAGCGGCCTCTAGCAAGACATGCCAACTCCTATACGCACACGAAGATCATATCAGACGAACCATCACAACATCATGTACATGCTATTCCCTTTGCCTCATGATATTTGGTCTAGCTTCAAGCCGACCTCTCTTTCTCGATCCTGTGATTCAAAATCCCTTTCTAGGTTAACTCTTAACCTCACGTAGCATGGCCATGCATTTCCGGATTCGATCACTCAAGGGGGCCAGAGATATCTCTCTCAAGTAGAGAGGGGAAAATTCCATCTTGACTGATCATGCCTCACAGCATGCTTCCTGACAAACCCGAAAGCTACCTTTATAACTACCCAATTATGGAGTAGCATTTGACAGCCCCTAAGTAAGTCAATTCACATCTTGAGTGCATGCAACAATCTCAGGTCTAAGGATAAAGCGTACATGTTGTGTAAAGAGAACTATGTAACTATATCTCGTGTTGGGTCGGTCCTAGCACATGTCTGTACACGTGCCCACATTATTAGTTTTACATCTTCATGTCCATGGCTTGTGAAACATAGTCATCAGCTAATACATGTACTAGTCTAATATTCATGTGTGTCCTCACATGAACTCTAACTAGGGACAACTTTAGAATAACCATACAAGTAAAGAGTTTCACATACAATTCACATAATTGCAAATCAATTCAAGTAGCCTTTAATGGATATTCAAGGAACACAATATGAAACATGAATACAATGGAATATCATCATCTCTATGATTGCCTCTAGGGCATATCTCCAACACTAAAAGTAGAAGTTCTAGAGATACCTCCTCACTTGTCGATATCGTTTCTTAAGGCGGTTAAGCCCAAAATTGAGAGCCTTGCTCCGATACCAATTGAAAGGACCTTGATGTCGCTTAGAGGGGGGGTGAATAGGCGCTTCTGAAAATTAACAACAAATAAAACTTGCAGCGAATTAGTAGAGTGTGCGGTACTGCTGCTCTAATGTGCAGCACTGCCGCACTGCAGTACTGCCTCACTCAAAATGCAGCACTGTCGCACTACCTCACTAAAAATGCAGCACTGTCGTGCCTGCGCAGAGAGTTCAGCAACCGCTACGCCTAGCACCTAAACTTAGAGATATGCGTGGAGATGTTCAGTGGCAAGTCCACTAAGTAACTGCACTCACAAACACACACAACCAAGTAGATCGAGTGGAACACAGATAATACAAAACAACACAAGAGAGAAGACATACAATTTTATCCCGTGGTTCAGCTCGCCAGCAAAGCTTATCTATGTCCACGTTGTTGAGGAAGCCACAAAGGCTTTGGGTCTCTTCCAACCCTATCCTCTTCTCAAGTCCAACGCCAAGGTTGAACTTGAGGTTTCCACTAAGATCTCCAAGTAATACAAACTTTCCCGTAGCTCACCACAAGCATGGGAGCTCATCGGGCGACGCCTAGCCATCTTGGAGGCTTCACTTCAAAGAGTAACAAATGCACAACAAAGATCGATGAAGCTCGACAAGTGATCAAGGTTTTGCTTGCTCTAATCAGCTCTCTAACACTTAATCACACACTAATCACTCACTCTGACAAAGAGAGAGGTTAGAGAGAGCTCTCACAAGGCTTGGGAAG